CATGTTAGCCAGTCTGATAGGTACGATGTGATGCCTCAAGAGTTGTTTTGATTTGTATTTCTCTAATCAATAGTGATTTAGAGCATTTTTTCATAATGATTATAATAAGTAGCTTTAATTTCTTCATCTGAGAACTGCCTATTCATATACTTTGACCATTTATCAATTGAGGAATGACTTGTATTTTTAGAAATTTGACTTAATTCTCTATATATTTGAGAAGTGAGGCCTTTATCAGAGAAACTTGTTACAAATTTTTTTTTCCAGTTTACTGCTTTCCTTCTAATCTTGGCTATATTGGTTTTGTTTGATATAATCAAAACTATCCATTTTATATCCTGCAATGCTCTCTATCTCTTGTTTAGTCCAAAATTCTTCCCTTGTTCATAGATCTGACAGATAAACTGTTTCATGCTCCCTTAATTTGCATTATGATATCACCCTTTATACCTAAATCACGTACCCATTTTGATCTTATCTTAGCATGTGGTATGACATGTTGGTCTATGCTTAGTTGTTGCCAAACTGCTTTCCAGTTTTCCCAGCAGTTTTGTCAAATAGTGAATTCTTGTGTTGGGTTACTAGATTGCTATGATCATTTACTCCTGTGTATTGTGTACTTAATCTATTCCACTGATCTACCACTCTGTTTCTTAGCCAGTCCCAAATTGTTTTGATGATTACCACTTTGTAATACAGTTTGAGATCTCGTTACTGGTAGGCCACTTTCATTCACCATCTATAAAATTCTTATGGTGAGAATACATGTCTTACCTTCCCCATGAGGTTGTTTTGAGGGAGGTGCTTTGTAAACTTTAATTTGCCATATGATCATTATTATTATTATTTTTATTATTATGTGCCATGATAAGAACTGGGCTTTAGGAAAATTAGAGATTAAAATGTACTTAAGATGGTTTGGAAGAGGGAAAAGACAAGAGAAGGGGAGTTCATTTAGGAGGCTCCTGCAGTACTCCAAGTAAGAAGAAAAATAAGAATTTAAATGTAGGTAGAGGCAGTAGGGATGAGATGAAGATGTATTCTAGGGATAGCATCAACAGAACTTGTCAGCTGCCTTGGAGGAGGAGTTAATGATGATCCTGGTGTTCTAAGCCTGGGTGACGGAGAGGATGGTAATGCCATGGAGGGGCTAGTAAAAAGAAGTGAGGAGAAGTGGTTTTCTTTTCAAGGAGGAAGAATGAAAGAATTTCTTTGGGATGTGGTGAATTTGAGCTGCTCTTGGAGCTGCCAGGTGGATAGGCCCAGCAGTGAGTTGGAAATGTGGGCCTGGACATGTGGATTTGGGAACTGTGTCCTTGGAAGGGATTGTGAAAGAGTGTGAAGAGCTAAGAACAGAGACTTGTGGGATGCCTCCATTTAGGGAGGAGCCAGCCAAGGACACAGACCAGAGTGGCCAGAGGGCCACAGTGACAGTGACCTTGAAGGTCTGCAGTGCTGTGCAGTGGGTAGTGCCGAGATGATGATCCCTTGTGTAGAGATGGAATTTTATAGCCTGAGAGGAAACTGAGGCTCAAAGAGATTGTGATTTACCCAGAGAGACACAGCTTTAGGTGGCACAGCCGGACTCAGACCAAGATTTTCTGTTAAAACCAGCAGGAAGAGGAAACGGACCTTATGTCTAAACATTTATAGAAGCTCTTTTCTCTGTAGCAAAGAAGTGGAAATAGAGGGAGAGCCCATCATATAGGGAATGGCTAAACAAATTGTAGCAGATGAAAGTAACGTAATATTATTGTGCCATAAGAAATGGTGAAAGGGATGGTGTTAGAGAAACCTGGGAAGACTTGTGTGAACTGATTCACAGTGAAGAGAAACGAACTAGGAGAATAACAACATTGTTAAAAAAGCATTGTTGAGAAATTTACCGCCTGTTATTTATGCAGTACCTCACCATGGTTCCAGAGGACTGATGATGAAACGTGCCGCTCACATCCTGACGCTGAACGCACAATGACTCATACGGCTTTGGACGTGGCTTCTCTGCAGATTTGTTTTGCTCAGCTATGCTTGTTACAAGCATTTTTTTGTCCTTTTCGGTTGGGAGGAAAGGGAAGCTAGTTACAGTGCTGCTAAACCAGAAGAAAAGAGGGTCACGGAAGCATTTTTTAAAATGCATCGATGAGAAACGAAAGAAGTCCAGAAGGAAACAGACAGAGCAGCTTTCAAAGTAACATGTTGAATTCATTATATAATTTTTTAAAAAGCGAACTATGCAGAGGTTCATGATTTCATATATAATCCTTTTTTATGTTCTACTTTGTATATGGAAATACTGATTTTGGGGGTATTTAGGTTTGAAATTTTAAAAAGTGCTTTATAAAGAGCTCACTGCCACATCTGTGTATCCAGACTGCCTTTCGGCATGTGAATTATTTTCAACTGGAATCTGTATATTTAAGAGTTTGTGCAAGTGC